GTTTTTATGGGTATGTTATCTTTTATATTTTCTGTAATGATGGTAAAAATGCTCTGCAGAATTGTTTGATTTATTCTATTCAGCTTCCAGATAGCTTTTAAGAGCTTTTAGCCTTCCACTTTAGAAGTAGTAATTTTTTGGCCATAATGTAGATTATATTTATCAAAATGTTTATGAAATCCTTTTAACATACTTTGATTAATTGAAATGGCTTGAATTCATGCTTCTAAATGATGGCAAAGGGCTTCTTTAAAAGCTGTATGGTTAATGTCCATTCTTTAATCACAAATCTTTATAATTTTTGGTCAGTAAATTGTCAAATTATAGTTTTTGAATTTGAAAAATAGTATATATGAAATAATTTTTAATATAAACTAATTTGATTTATAGATTTTATGTTTATAATCCGCATGCTATTTATATTACCATTTTGCATTAACTCTTAATACATACTTTATAGATTATTTAGCTATAAATAATAGCTGCAATAAAAACATCTAAATTTATGATGATTCCATAAACAAACACTAAAGCTTCTCCTTTGGTACAGAAGCTGAACAAATCATTACTCTTACCTGTGAATGAATTTAGATACATTTGTTTTTTTCCCCAAACTCAAACTACTCCCTAAAATATATGTTTGCTAGTTCTGAATTACTCATTATTCTGAGTGTCCTTGCCACTCTATAACTGTGTTTCCAGCTTCAGCCAGGGGTAAATTTTTGAACTCCATATGATGGAGGAAAATAAGTACTTTCTTTTTTTTTTCATTAAATCATAGCTGTGTACATTTATATATATATACACATATACATATATATAATTACTTTCTTTTGGAGGCAGGGCTTGCTTTGATGTCCTGGGTAGAGTGCCCTGGCATCATACCTGAAAGCAACCTCAGGTTCAACTCTTGGGTTCAACTCTTGTCTCAGCTTCCCAAGTAGGGGGGACTACAGGCACCCATCAAAATGCCTGGCAATTTTTACAGATGGGGGTCTTACTTTTTTTTTTTTAACTTCTGTTTTCTTTTTCTTTCTTTCTTTTCTTTTCTTTTTTTTTTTTTTGCAGTTTTTGGCCGGGGGCTGGGTTTGAACCCACCACCTCTGGCATATGGGGCCAGCACCCTACTCCTTTGAGCTACAGGTGCTACCCAAGGGAGGGTCTCACTTTTGCTCTGGCTGGTCTCCAACTATTGAGCTCAAGCAATCCACCACCTTGGCCTCCCAGAGTGTTGGAATGCAGGCATGAGCCCCTGGGCCCGGCCCTCATGCTAAGACATGTATAGACCCAGGGTCTGGTATAGTTCTTTTCCTTCTAAAACATTCTCTTCCCTTTTCTTCTAACTCTGTAGTTTATTTATTAAGGTAGAAAATAGGGGCTAACAGGATGATGGCACAATTTTCCCATTTTTCTTTGGACTGAAAGTTTGATTCAGCAAATATTTGTTACCTGCTTTGTGTCTGGTAGCGAGTTTAGTTCTGGGAACTCACTGGGGGATAAGCCACAGTGTCTTGGAGGATTGTTCCTTTGAGACACAGTTACAGGTGTTTCTGCAACAGGGTGTTATGAAACTTACGCGAGTGGTTAGTTTGTAGGAAAGGACTCGCCAGAGAAGATGTCATTTGAATTGGGCCTTGAAAGGCAGATGGACATTTGTAAGAAAAGAAGTAATAATTTAGTTGTTGTGAACACTCACTGCAAGAACGAGGGGTATGAAAAATTTAGGGTTTATCTAGGGAGTTGCATGTGGTCCATATGACTAACTAAAATATAGGGATTGAAAAGTGAACAAGGACTGAATTTTTCATGTCAGATTGTTAAGATCTTGCATGCTATACTAATTTGGGACTTTACTTTTAGTTTAAGGGGGAGCTGCTGAACATTTTAAAGCAGGAGATTAATGTGATTTTATTTCTGCTTTGCTTAAGAGCTATACTCAGATGTCTTTAGGACCAGACAGGTAACATAAATGTGAAGCTGCCAGATTTAAGACAGCAGGGAGTGGTAGGGCCCACCGGACTGTAGAGTACTTACCTTGCCTAAAGCCTTTTATTAATACATACAAGCCATTTGTAAACACCATGTCTTCCAAATCACATAGAGTGTTGACTAAATGAAGTTAGTCCCTGCTCAGAGCTATCCCTGACACCTTTTTGGAGGATGTTGAACAATGTTTAGTTGATGGTGTTTGTCAAATAAATGAGTGGGTGGATTAAAGGGTGGGATATGGATGCTGCATGTGGAGACTGATGAGGAGGCTGTTACCATAATTCAAGCAGAAGTTGAGAGGGCTTGAGTTAGATTGGAATTGAGAAAGGATAAGCATGGGTGGATCTGGGAAATACCAAAATGAAATGGTGGAATTGTCAGGATTTCATACATAAAGAAAAGAATTAAAGGTGACAGATTTTCAGCTTGGATTGTGTGAATCAAGACAGAGAATATGGGAGAAGAAACATCTCTGGGGGAGAGAGATACTGATTTGGTTTTCCTGGGGTGAGGTGAGAATTTATTTAATTCTTTCCAACGTTATGGCACTATCATGGGTATCCTTTCTAGGACATTGTTTTGGGGACGTTAGCACTCGTTCATATTTCATTCGTCCCTTCATTTATTATGTTTTTTAGACAGAAATTGTTCTAGAATTAATTTTTCAGAGGAAAATCTCAGTGCTGCTTGCGAGTATTCCCTTAACCCGTATGTGCAGATTTGGCTGTATTTCAGGCATAAATTCTGATGAGGGATCTTTATTTGTCTAATTCAAAAGTTGTAGTTTAGCTCATTCTCAGTTTTTCCTAGAGAATGTAATCTCCAATCCTCAACTCAATCCCAAGAATGTTCATGATAGTTTATAGAAAATGTGTGACTCCTAGATTTCTGGACATTAATTCCTGAGACCATAAAAAGTTGGATTCTTGTATCATATGTGTTTTAGTTTTATGACAAATTATTTTATACCTGTATTTCTGTTCTGGTGTTATCTCCTCAGTTGGCATCAGAAGGTTCTCTAAGAGATAAATGCAAAGAACCTTGTGTGTATTGTAAGGATATTATCAAGGGTGTTGTGCCTTAGGAGATAAGAAGGTCCCTTTTAGCAAGACTCTGGCAGAATTTTCTCTCAGAACTTAATGCCAGCTAAAGTAATTTTTATGTCTTTGTTTTGTTTAGATCCCCCCTCTTTTGAGCTACTGGTGTTTTGATCTTACCAACATTAAATTGTGTCCTATGGCTCTCCTTATTTGCTTTGGCTGCTAGGACTTTGAGAGTCAAATTTATAATCAGTGGTAAAAACCTGGTATGATTTTATTAAACAATCTTATATGTGTTGGTGTGTTCAAGTATATCTGCCACTTGTTCTTACTGTTTTAAGAATAATTACATTTTAATCTTTTTCCTTTAAATATTTTCTCTCAACGTATTTGTTTTGTTAGACATCACAAAGTTTAGTAATGAGATGTAATTCAAATAATGTTCTTTTTTTTTTTTTTACTAACCTAGTAAAAATTAAAGGGAAAAAAATCTAGTAAAAGATTAAGTTTATAATTCAATAAATGTTTACCAAGGAAACATAACTGCAGAATTACCACCTAGAAATAGAAGTAGAATGTTTCTAATACTGTAGAAACTTCTCCCATGCCACATCGCCATCATTCTTCCAGGGCAAACTAAGGCAATGACTATTCTGGCTTCGGTCACTAAAGTTAGTTTTGCTTGTTTGGGACTTTAAATGACTGGAATCACACAGTGTGCTCTGACTTCTTTTGCCCAACACCTCTGAGATTCAGGTGATAAATTTTCATTGCTGTAGTCATTGTGTGATTATATCACACTTAACCCATTTAATTATTCATAGACAATTGTGTTGTTTCAAGGTTTTGCCTGTTAGAAATAATCCTGCAAGGCTTGTGTGTACAGTTCTATTAGAAGTACACGCAGGACTAGAACGGCTGGGATGTAGAGCACGTGCTGAGTTTCTCCGTCTCCCCTCACCCTGACATTGAATGAGGCTTCCACTTGCTTTACATCTTTGCTGACATTGAGTGAAGACATTTTTAATTTTCTAAATGTATTTTTAGCCACTCTGGTCATTTGTTACTGTGTTTTTGTAGTTTTAATTTGCATTTCTTGAGTGGTGAATGGACTCGAGTGCCTATTTTCGTGTTTATGAGCCAGTGGGAGCCTTTGTCAGGTATCTGTTTAAGCCAGGTTTACCCTTTAGCTTTCTTTAGTTCTACTATCTGCTTATGTATCTTTATACCAGTTCTATTGTTTTATTGGTGAAACTTTATAAGGAGACTTTATCTATTGTAGTATATGTCCTTTAACACTGTTCATTAAGATCGTTTTGGCTATACTTAGCCCTTCGAATTTCCATATAAATTTTGGAAGCTGCTTGTCAGTTTCTAGAAATCAGAATTTCGATTAGAAATTCAGTTATTCTAAGAGATCCTTTTGGTGAGAACTGTGTTGAAGGTTTTAATCTTTTAACTTGATAAATGCTTCATGTATTCATGTATCTACATATACCTTATGTATTTAGGTCTAATTTATTTTATTTCGGTATTATATTGTATATTTTTATTAGACTTATCCTCAGGCATTGGTGTTCCTATATGGTGTTTGCAAAAATTCATTTTCTTGTTCTCTCTTCCTAATATGTAGGTAATTAATTTTATTTTTGAAATTTTAGTTTTTATTTGTACTTACTGTTTTTAAAAATTGCTATCAGTTTTTAGTTCTTAAGTTGTAAGTTTGGATTTTCTACTCACATAATCCTGTTGCTGCTGGCGATGACCCTTACTCCTTCCCTTCTAATTCTTTTCTTTCATTTCTTTGTCTTGCCTTACTGCACTGTCTGTGGAATCAGCAGCACATCTTACTCCTCTTACTGTGGCTCTTTGAATTTGTTGGATGTTTTATTCAGCTTGTATGTCTTGTACGTTAGTACTTACTTTGTCTCTTAGAAAGATAGACTCATCTAACTCTATTTTATTTAATAGTGAACTGAATTCAAAGCTGCAAGATACCTTAGAACAAATTGAGGTAAGAAGCGTTATTTCATAAGTGACTTTCTTTTCAGAGATTTTTGAATAGCATAGGTGCAACACTGTGTTTTGGCTTTTGGGTTTCTAGATCACTATACATTATTTCTTGTTTTTCATTTGGAATGTCTGTGCATGGTCAAATTAGTCTTAATCTACTTGTAAACTCATTAATACTTTTGGAATTATGGGACTTCCAAACAGTGTTTGAAAATATCACCATTTCCAGAAAAATCCCCAAACTATTAGTCATAGCTATGTTCTCTGGTAAATTCTGGAATAGCCATGTACTAACTATGTTTTGAATATCAACTAGTTCTCTTTTTTTATTTGAGGGAGTTAATTTACTTATGAGTGATTATTGGCTAATGGAAATCTTCCTAAATTCCTAAACCTCATAATGATACCACATACAGTTCATCAAAAAGGTAGAAACTAGAAAGGAAAAGGTGTGTCCTTGTGAGCATGAGGCTCTGTTTTTCCTCTTACATATATGTAGATTTCCTTTGCAGTCTTTGCAAAGGAAGGTATACAGTTTAATAAATTTAGTGAGAATGTTTGGTTTCTTTTAGTATTTTATTTTATTGTTTTCCTGATAAGAGTGCTTATTAAAATTGAAGTTGGCGTTTCAAATGACCTTTTGTGAAAGTAGTTTTTGATTGTAAGTGCTTTTATTTGTTAACTGTAAGAATACCAATTTGATAATCACAAAAACAATTTCTTTGAGTCCCTTGTATAAACAATTCCCTGAATATTTTTAATGAGGGCTTTCTATTAAGAGTGCAATATTCCTTTACTCTTAATATACAATATTATTATATAATTATATAGAAAACTATTATTTGAAAATGAAGTCACTGAAATATAAACCCATAAACAGGGTAGTATATTTAGTTAGATACATAAGCTTCAATCTTGAATTTTATACTTTTAAAGTCTGTGTATTTTTGGTGAAAATTACTTTTCAGTGATTACAGAAAGATTGTTATTTTTCAGTAGTCTCACAAATTTTGTTCATTATCCTTAAAAATTACAATATTTTAGCAGATGCCTGCAGAAACATAAAGTAAAGTAAAAATCACAAATAAGATTCTTTAAGAAATGATTATATTGATTTTGTTTCCTTTGAAACACTAGGCATGGGTTTCAAAACAAAAATATGTTGCTACTATCTCAGTGAACTTGATAACTTGATTACAGTAGCTAATAAATTACAGTTAGAACTTATTTATAATTTTATTTAAACTTCTTTACTACTAAATTCAGTGTGATGGCAAATATATTTAGACATTAGAGGTGAGAGATTAGTCTTAATATTTCCTTCTCATTGCCTTGAAAACCTAATTTCTTAACTACCTCATGCTTCCTCTTTTAATTATGTAGGAACAGCTGGATGTTGCTCTTTCCAAAATCTGCAAGAATTTTGATATTAACCATTATACAAAAGTTCAACAAGCATATCGACTGCTTGGAAAGACACAGGTTTGTTTCAAAAGAATATTTGTTTTTTTCCTAATCATCAATCTGTTGACCTTCATGATTAAGTCTGAATATTGTTAATGTAGTGCTGTTAAAAGTTTCATTTAATGGAGTACATTTTTCTGCCGAATTTAACAGGGGTAGCATAGTTGTTCACATGGACTCAGTATGTATGTGGTATGATTAAAACATTATAGAAGTTTGTTGTGAACTATGAGATCTTTGTCAGGTTTAATATTTTCTCAATTTTATGTAGGTTTTATGAAAATATATAAGATAATTCAACGGGAGACTATTTTATCTCAGCTCTTGGTCCTAAAACAGGACTTTGTAATTTGGAGCTTTGTGGGCTCCTAGGTAGGCCAGCATGAGTCCCTCAAAATGTTATGTAAATTTAGTACACTGTGTGCATTTAGCTATAGGACAGATCTGTTGCATATATCATTTTTTAAAGGGTTCTGTTATCCCCCCAATGTCATAACTTTTTTCAAAAAGCATAGTTTTGCATACTCCTTTTCAAGGGCTTCCTGGAAAAATTTGAAACAAGTGCCATGTTTTGAAAATTAATAGTGTCTTTTGTGTGTCCAGGATTTACATTTATCTATACAACATTTGATTAATAAACGTAAATGCTTCTTTCTCTTACATGGTCCCCTCTTTTAGAAGGGAATTTAAGACTTTATTCAAATTCCATTACATTTAGATTCTGAATAAGGAAATTTTACTGTTTCTTATTTTCATGTCTTAAGCCATACCTAAGAAAAAAAAATCCAAGAGGTTAGATGTGGCAATTTTAAGAAACATGTTTAAAGACTTCTGAAAATAGAACTATAATTTCTCATTTGCCATATGAGATTAAGTCTTCCATACCTTAAATATTTATTGGTACTTACTATGTGTATTACTACAGGCCCCTGGGTTTAGGCCTTCATGAGGACTATAAGTATTAAAGAAATACCAGCATACCTTATTTTATTCTACCAACCTGCCATTTTCCCTTCTCTCTCCATCTCCTTGGGCCATCCTATTTCCCGAGACACAACAAAATTGAAATTTGGCCAGTGAATAACTACCATGGCCCATGAGTGTTTAAGTGAAAGGAAGAGTCACATATTGCTCACCGTAAATCAAAAGCTAGAAACAGGTAAGTTTAGTGAGAAGGATATGTTGGAAACTGAGATAGTTTGAAAGGTAGGCCTCTGTCACACGCTGGCACAAGAGAGGGACCTCTCATGACCCGGGGCGAGTTGGGAGAGTAGATCTGAGTGGAAAGGGGGAAATGAAGAAATACAAAGCAATGAAAGACAAGGAGGGGCAAAGAAAGACGGGAGTCGAGAGCTGGGCTGGCATCAGGAGGCCCGACACAGCTGATGACTGCAGCCAGCCACTGAACCGTGGAAACCGCTTTATTTATACAGTGTCTTAATAAGATCGCATACATCTTAACACGTGAGGTAGAGATCAACTTTAAAGAGGACAAACTGGGCTGTTAATAATGAAGTGTGCCTGGGCCGTGTGAATTCTGACAGGTGAAGATAATGTTAAGGGAGGAGAAGGGGTTGGGGGTCGCTCCCTGAGCATCACCCGGGCTGTGGGGGCCCTGCCAGCTCAGCCCACTCCCCACCGGCCTCTTATGCCAGTTAGCCAAGCTGTGAATGCAGAGGAAAAGTTCTGTTTAAAAATTTTTAGGCCAGGCATGGTGACTTATGCCTATAATTCTACTACTCTGAGAGGCCAAGATGGGCAGATTGCTTGAGCTGAGAAGTTTGAGAACAGCCTGAGACCAGCCTGAGCAAGAGCGAGACCCTGTCTCTGCTAAAAATAGAAAAGCTAGCTGGGCACTGTGGCAGGCTCCTATACTCCCAGCTACCTGGGAGGCTGAGACAAGAGGATCGCTTAAGCCCAGGAGTTTGCGGTTGCTGTGAGCTATGATGCCACAGCACTCTACCCAGGGCATCGGAGTGAAACTGTCTCAAAAAAATTTTTTTTAACTATTATATATCCTTAAAGGGTACATGTGATGCAGTATGCAGGTACAGTGAGAGAAGAAAAGTTCTTGAAGAAAATTAAAAGTGCTGCTCCAGTGAATACACACATAAGAAAGCAAAATAGCCTTATTGTTGACATGGAGAAAGTATGAGTGGTCTGGACAGAATATCAAACCAGCCACAGCATTTCCTTAAGCAAAGGTTAATCCAGGGCAAGACCTTAACTCTCTTTGATTTTATGATGGCCAGCAGAGGTGAAGAAGTTGCACAAGAAAAGCTTGAAGCTAGCAGAGGTTAGTTCATGAGCTTTAAGGGCAGAGCCTTTTCTATAACGTAAAAGTACAAAGTGAAAAAGAACATGCTGATGGAGAAGCTGCAGCAGGTTATCCAGAAGATCTGGCTGAGATCATTGATGAAGATAGCTACACTGAACAACAGATTTCTACTGTAGGTCAGCCCTCTTTTGGAAATAGATGCCATCTAGGACTTTGATAGCTAGAAAAAAGTCAATGCCTGGCTTTAAAGCTTCAGAGGACAGGCTGACTGTCTTGCTAGGGATTGGTGCACCTGGTGACTTCAGTCAGAGCCAATGCTCATTTACCCTTCTAAAAATCCTAGGACACTTAAGAATTATCCTAAATCTGCCCTGACTGTGCTCTATAAATGGAACAACAAAACCTGGATGGCAGCACATCTGTTACAGCATGGTTTACTGAACATTTTAAGCTCGCTGTTGAGACCTCTTGCTCGTAAAATGATTCCTTTCAAAATATCATTGCTCATTGACAAATGCACCTGGTTATCTAAGATCTCTGGTGGAGATGTACAAGAAGTTCAAAGTTGTTTTCATGTCTGCAATCACAACAATCATTTTTCATTCCATGGATTAGTCATTTTGACTTTTGAGTGTTATTATTTAAGAAATACATTTCGTAAGGCTATAGGCGCCATAGATGGTGATTCCTCTGATGGTATAGGGAAAGTGAGTTGAAAACCTCTGGAAAGGATTCACCACTGTAGATGTAATGGTGTGTGCCACACCTTTTGGGGTCAAGACACGATTTTAAGAGGGACTTTACCTAACAAATGCAATCAGTGTAACCTGATTTCTTGTACCCTCAATGAATCCCGAACAGTTAAAAAAAAAACATTTATGATTTATGGGAGGAAATCTAAATATCAGCATGAACAGGAGTTTGGGAGAAGCTGATTCCAGCCTTGCTTGGATTTGGAGGGGTTCAAGACCTCAGTGGAGGAAGTCATTGCAGAGGTGGTAGATGCCAAAGATCTTGAATTAGAAGCAGATCCTGAAGATGTGACTGAGTTGCTAAAATTACATAATAAAACTTGAATGGATGAGAAGATACTTCTGATGGATGAACAAAGAAAGTGATTTCTCGAGATGGAATCTACTCCTGGTAAAGATGCTGTGAACATTGTTGAAATGAAAACCAAAGATTTAGAATATTACATAAACTTAGCTGTTAAAATCAAGGCAGAGCTTGAGAGGATTGACTCCAGTTTTGAATGAAGTTCTACTGTGGGTGAAATGCTGTCGAACAGCCCCGCAATGTGTAGGGAAATCTTTTCTAAAAGGAAGTGAGTTGGTCAAATGTGATATACTGTATTGTTGTTTTATTTTAAGAAATTACCATAGCCACCCAGCCTTCAGTGACCTCCACCCTGATCAGTCAGCAGCCATCAACATTGAGGCAAGACCCTCCACCAGCAAAAAAGATTATGACTCCATTTTTTAGCAATAAAGTATTTTTTAGTTAAGCTCCATGCATTTTTTTAGACATAATACTATTGTACGTTTAATAGGCTGTAGTGTAGTATAAACATAACTTTTATATGCACTAGGAAACCAAAACATTCATGTGACTCACCTTATAGTGATTTTTTAAATTGTGCTGGTCTCGAATTGAACCTGCATATCTCTGTTGCGTACGCCTGTCAATGTGATGTCAGCTGGTAACAAGTGCTACAAAGAAATATAAATCAGAGCAAATAGATGCAGTGATGGAAAGGACTGATTTATGTTGGTTAGTCAGGAAAGGTTCTATGAGAAAGCAACCATTGAGAAATGTCCTGAATGACATATGAGAATTATTATCAGGTGGCAGAGGGGATCCCGAGGTGGATTATGAAAGAGCAAGATAGTACCAGTTATAAATACAGAGCAACAGAATAGTACTCAGGATTCTGATTTATCTTGAGCACTATATGTTGTGGTTATGTTATTTGCAGATCACCTACACTGTGATTATAATTCTAGGAATAATAGTGACCTTTGTGCTATAGATATAACTGGTAAAGATGTTTTTCCTGTGTTTTTCCAATGTATTTAAATTTATATTAATAACAAGAAATTATACTGTATTTTTTTCTTCTCACAGACAGCAATGGATCAGCTTCATATGCACTTCACCCAAGCCATTCACAATACCGTGTTTCAAGTTGTTCTTGGTTATGTGGAACTATGTGCTGAGAACACAGACACTAAATTCCAAAAGCTGCAATATAAAGATCTCTGTACAGTACGTAGTAACGTAATTACTATCTATATGTCTTTCTTTAAATTCATATTCCCTTTTTCTTTGCACCTACTGTTTCAGGATGCTGGTAAAAAAAACAAACAAACAAACAGATGTTTGTCAAAAGTTTTTTTTTTTTTTCTCCCATATTGTTTTTTTCCTTATAGAGAAACTGAGAACTTAGTCATACAAATGGTAACGGTTACTGAGATTAGAGCTGCTTCTAAATTGACTCTCTACCTTCTCCTGACTTCTACCCTTCTCTCTCAGGCTCTGAATTGTCTTCTGTGATTGCATCGAGGTGCCTCTAAGCCAGCGGTTCTCACCTGTGGGTCTCAACCCCTTTGTAACAATGTAAATACATTGTGGAGTTAGGAAGGTTGGGAACCACTGCTAAGTGATCATCAGTGGTTTTCCGTACAGATATTCAGTCTTTTTGTGTCTTTGTCAGCCTCTGTATATAGCTTTTACTTTTCATTCTTAAAGAAACACCAGTCTGTGGGTGATATGACCCAATACCTAGGAAGTGGACTAATTGAGGCTCTGTTTTAGTAGTGGGTCCTACTGATGTGCTGTGGCCTCTGGCTGATTTTGTGAGGATACTTTTTGCTATCTGTGGTGCTGGATATCATTAAAATGTGTGCATGGACCTTGGGTATGTTTTTTTTTTTTTTTTTTAGCTAATCAGCTTAATATTCATGTATTTACTGTATGGCCCAAGACAACTCTTCTTAGATATATGGCAGAGAAGAAAAAAGCTCGGGCACCTGATAGAATGTGAGAAAAAGCGAATGATAAACAATTGGAAGAACTGTAGCGTCATTTGCTTTTATAGGGAAGACTGGGAAGGAGCTGGACTGTAGTGGCAGATCAAGAGTTCTGTTTCATATCTGCTAACCATTTAAGTGGCTTGTTGAGAAGGCAGTTGGGTAAAAGAATCTGGGGAGATCAGGGCTGAGGTTATAGACTGGGAAGTCATCAGCACCTACTGGTATTTAAGGCCATGATACTGGTTAAGGAGATTGGAGTCAAAAGTTTTAGATAAAGAGGACATGGGGACCCAGACCTTGTGACTTTCAGGGATTAGCTAGAAGAGCAAAGACTCAAAGAGACGGAGGAGTAACAGCTAGCTGCACAGGAGGAAGAGGAGGTAATGGTGCTGTGGAAGTGTGAAGGAGGAATGCAGTGTGAACCTGCATCACATGCTGCTGAGGGTTTGAATATGGGGACATTGCCGAATTGACCGCTTGATTCGACAGTGTGGAGGTCAGTGTTTATCATGAGCTTTCTAGCCCAGGAACGCTCTGCGTCTCTCACTAGAGATGTACCTGAGTTTAATGTCTGCTCTGGAAGTTGTGACAGTTCTAGGAAGTAGGTATCTATTCGCTTTTGTAATTATCTCTAGGAATTAGTGTGAAATTAATCTTCATTCTTTAAGTTTCTTTGTTAGAAGTTCTAGTTATCTATTAGGAACCAGAGAGATTTTTCTGACCTGAGCTACGGCAAATATTCTGGCAAGGGTTGTTAATGATGACAGGGGATCATTGTTAATATGTCTAAAAATGTCTTTTTAAAATATTTTAATAAATCATGAAGATGATTTACAAATTTTACGAATATTAACTTTAAGTAGGATTTAGTTCCATAATTATATTTTAAATATACAGTTTTAAGTATATCCATAATTGGATAAATGTTAATAATTTTGAAATGTGCTTTTCCTTATTTATATATGTTACTAGGTAGATAATATATATTTTAAAATTAAATACACAATCACTTTTATTTTTTGATTCTATGAATGCCATTAACCCAATAAAGCAATTTATTACAAGTTAGTGATTTTTCTGTTAAAGCAGAAAATAATTCTTAAAAATTAAAGTGAATATTTTAAACAATTTAAGTTTTTGTCCAGCCATATTCTTTTATGTGGGAGGCGGGGGGAGGTATAGTTGTTTTGTTGCCACTTTTATATACTTAAAAGCCAAAAGCCTACTGTGCTTATGCTCCTTGAAAAAGTCCTCTGTGCATTTATATAAACAGAAAGCTGAAAGTTATACTTGGATTATACATTTTAGTGAATAAAAATTGTGTTCAGGGTCAATGTTTAACATCTCATGTTTCTTCTGGATTTCTTTCACCTTTTTAAGAAACTAACTGTAAAATATATATTAAGTAGCTATATATGTCACATAACAAATATCAATCCTTCTTGATTTCATCTTGCATTAAATGCTCATTAATATTACCCACAAGAAACTTGTGTTCATTATTTTAACATCATTTATGTATATGTGATAGTTTGTGAGGTATATATAATTAAGGAAACAAATGACTTATTAAAATACTAGAGCTTAGTAATAGAAATCACACACAATTGCAGTCACATATATTATTCATCCAACACAGTTGTACATTTTTGGTTTATATTCTAGCTGTGCTAAAACATTAGTTGACATAGTTTTGGTTTGAGTTGGTGAGAATAGTAGCAAATATTAGTGATGGTTTTGTGGAGGAATTTTGATGAAGAAAATAGATAACTTATAAGGCAAAGATTGTGATTTACCTTAGGGTAGCCCATTTTCTTTGGCACTGTTCTCAATAAAAAATGTAGGAAGTTCAGCAATTCTCTGGCCTCCTAAAAATTACCCATAGACTTCTAGATATTACTGCTACAGACAGGGATGCAGAAATCTCTGAAACCTAAGTGTTAATTTATTTCATAATATTGAGTCATGTTTGACATGTTTAAAGCAGGTAAGATTAGGAAGAAATCATTTCTTACCAATTCTAGCTATTATTTAGTGAGATGAAACAATGTGAATTTTTGGTAACTGAGTTTTATAAAAGGTAGTGATTAGCTCAGGAGACGAAAACTTGGAGGGAAGCCTCAGAAGTTGAATAAATAAGTTGATGAAAAGAAATTTAAATACATTTTCTTGGTGGTAACAAATATCTAGGCTTTGCAATTTCTGCAGGAGCCTTGTAAGAATGTAACCTTCTTAATTTTTCAGTGTATGGCAGTGGGAAATCATTTTAGCCTTTGATTAAAAGTAACTGAGGGTGTGCTTTTGTGAGAGCCCAAGTGTGTGGCCATGGAGGGTCAGGTGAGAAAGAAGTTCTCAGATGACATGTGGAAGGGGTGATCGTGACACATTTTGGAAATGAGAAGAAAGCCTAGGCAATTTGGCAGTTTGTTTTCTGTGTACGGTAGCAGAAGTTTGAAGCCAATTCCTTAATTATAAATAGTGTTTTAAAATAACATTGGCTGTTAAGATAGAAAATGCGGTGAAAGCTATGTTAACCAGTTTGATGAAACTATTTCAAATTGTATAAAAACTCAGCACATTGTACCCCATAATTGCATTAATGTACACAGCTACGATTTAATGAAAAAAAAAAAAACAGATTTAGTACTTCAAAAAAAAAATAAGATAGATGTATGGGATAGAGTAAGGAGGAGATGAAATTCCTGTGAATAGGGAATAATTTTGCTTCCTTTAAAAGGAAAAAGTTGTAAATGAAAACAGCTAATCATCTGCTTGCTTTATTCATAATGTTATTTTAAACCACTCTCAGGTATCAGTCTAAATGAGCTAGAGTGAAATTTAACTGATTTGTAAAAAAAAAAAAAAAAAACAAAAACCCTTAGAAAGAAATCTGGGGCCAAGTTAATGTTCTGTATTATGGTAACCATAACCTCAGAGTTCTTAAGCTCTGTTGTGTCACGGAATTTCTGTCATTTGTTTCCTTTCACCATTGCTCCTGGTTTAAAAGCTTAGTTGGTTTTCCATGTTTTGAACTCTTTTTGCAATTGAATGTACTGATTTTGTTTTTCCTTACTAAACCCTGTTTTCTAAATGTTTGAATTAGAAGCATAGTTTTTCTCTTTATGGTTTATCTTTCAGTCTAGATTCCCTCCTTTTCTTGAATGTATTGCCTTACTATTTTTAGGCTAGTCATTTAGGTTCTTTTAAAAAATAGGATGGGTATTTTGAAGCCCAAATAAATGGCTAATATTTAGTAGCAAAATTTCCAAATGAGAGTTTAATTTCATTCATTTCTTGGAAAGGGTAATGTAAAGGGTTATAGTGGTAATTTTGTTGGCTTAAAAAATTAAGCCCTGTTTGCAATTTCACTTACCTCTTGATGTAATGTATATTAGTTTATAGAGAAACTTATAGACACCATTTGGAGACATTTTATTTAGTGACCTTGTAGAGAAACCCTTTGTGGGTTATTTGAAAATTTATGTAGTACTCATTTTTTTTTTCTTTTTTTAGTAACATTTCTTTGGCAGGCTGATGGATTCCCTGGGGAGCTTATTTTAAGATGTTACTTGGGGCTCGGCGCCTGTGGCTCAAGTGGCTAAGGCGCCAGCCACATACACCTGAGGTGGCAGGTACGAGTCCAGCCCGGGCCCGCCAAACAACAATGACGGCTGCAACTAAAAAATAGCCGGGCGTTGTGGCAGACGCCTGTGGTCCCAGCTACTTGGGAGGCTAAGGCAGGAGACTTGCTTGAGCCCAGGAGTTGGAGGTTGCTGTGAGTTGTGATGCCATAGCACTCTACACAGGGGGATAGCTTGAGGCTCTGTCTCATAAAAAAAAAAAAAAGATGTTACTTGGGATGTTATCGATTATTTTTAGGATAATAGAGTTGGCTAAGCTGGCTAAAGTTTTCTCAACCATTTTTCCATTGTGGATTTCCAATTGGTCTTAATGATTTATGAATTCTGTTTTTATGATGAACTGGTAATACTTTGGGAAAAAAATATAGTGTTTCTTTTAGAAAAAAATCATTTAAAATCCACTGCAGTATCTGGTACGTGGAAGGTGTTTAGTAAACGTTTCTTGAGTAAATTGGATTACTGTGTTTGTATCTGATTGTTGTGGTGTTGACAGCAAGTCTGATTAGGTTAACTGGGAGGGAAAAAGTGCTGATGTCGAACTGTCTTCTCTGTGCCATGCACCTTAACAGGTGCTGTACAGCAGTACATTGTA